TTGGCTCCGAACATCTTCGGGAGTTAGGATAACCTGGATTTTGGAACACGAGGAAGCATCGACTTTTATTTTTCAAAAATATATTTTGAAAAAAAAAGAGAAAAGATTTGAATAATTAAGGTAACCGGTAACCGTTAGTTTGCGTAAAAAGGAGTCGGAACTTTTCTTCCGTAGCATTAATCGTGGGAATCGGTTCCGGATTCAATTCTTCGCCCAGCTCTAATTTCCAGTGTTCACTTCCACTTGTAGTTAGATGTGCGCAGCTCGCGGGCTTCTCTCTTGGTCTCAGCGTTTCTTATTGGTGAAGCCTCCAATTCTGATTTCCTGCCCACTGTGACTGCTGCTCTCCTGCTGGGTCTGTCAGGGGAGTGGGTGGTTGGCGGGTGCTCTGGTGTGGTTTGCTTCTTCTTTCCTATCAAACATCTATCGTCCTTATCTCCCCTCCTTCTTTTTTGTGTTTGTTACTCTCTTGTAACACATCTATTCTTCGGCACTTATATGACCTTATTGTGTTGCAAGTGCCGTAAAACTCTTACTAAAACTAAAACTGTCAGGGGATAGGCTCTCGCATGTGGAAAGATTTATGTGGAAGTTTTTCAGGGACATTTTCAGGGTCTGTTTGTGACGTTTTCGTTTTTCATTTTTCTTTTGTTTGTTTTTTGTTTTGTTTTGTTTTGTTTTGTTTGTTTTTTGTTTTGTTTTGTTTGTTTTTTGTTTTGGAATAGCAACTTTGTCGCTTCCCCGAAAAATAAGTGCGGTATTCATTACATTTTCGTTGTAATAAATACCGCACTTATTTTTCATGGAAATAGTTTGGGTTTTTTTAACAATCGTGTTAAGATCTACAAATTTGTCTCTTGAATTTTTCCTAAACGAATTAGAAGATATTTCATTCTTTTTTTCGTGAGGTAGTATTCAAGTTTGCCAAAAATTCGTGAAATCCCCACTCCAGGCACCACCAAGAAAACATTATTCCATATACAATGTATTTCAAAATTTTTAGTATTACGACTGCTGTTTATTCTGTGCAAATGTCCTGAAGATTGGATGGACAATGGCGGAGTTCAAAACAGTAGAAATCCCGCATTTTAAGAAAAATGAATTGTTGACTTTATGAGGAAATGGTGGTGACATTCATGCCCGGTGTGGGAAGAAATTTAAAGGCTTTAGACTTACAGGGTTCTAATGCTAAGAAGTAATTGTAGGAAAGGAAAAAGAAGCTATGCCTATAACTCAAAATCCATAATTTTCAGCCGAATTGGGACTTTTGGTGTGTA